CTGTTAGCGGACATTTAGTTCGTATATCAGTTTATACTGTAGACAATTATGGACTTGTTAAAATGCTACTTTAATTATATTGTTTAACTTGTAATGCATCCATAATTGGTTGACTTAAAATGACTATATTTGTAAACAAAGCTTTTGTACCACATGGTGTTTGAAAACAAATATCATCATTGGATCTAATTAATCAATTAAGCTTTCTCGAAAAGTCCATATCTAATCCATTGTAATTGATATAACACAGTACCATTAAAATGTCAAATGAATGATGGTGTGAATGAAAGATTATTGTTCATTGTTTTGACGGCTAGATACCGTGCAGTAGAGTTACGTAATATACTTAAAACTGGATAGTCATCTTCTCCTTTAGGCGCCATACATCCTTAATTGTCTACGTGCGTCGTAAAACGAAACAAAAAAAAACAAACAAACACAATAGTGATAACAAATGGAAAGCGACCGCTTTATCCGCCAATTAAATACATATACAAATAGGAATTGTTTTTGATTTATAAGATAATTATGATTTTATTAGTAGAACTTACAGACATATTATTTCACTCAGGTATATCAGAGTATACAACACGAGGTTTAACAATATACTGTATATTGTAGCTATAATAGAGTCCGATATAAAAAGCATAAAGTATAAAAAAAATAGTAGAACTATATGAGATTATTCATACTTTGTGATTTGGCAAAATAGAATTTTCATCTAATACAACGTACCCCCCGCGAAAAAAAAATAAACAAATATAAATAAAAAAGTTGAACTTGACAAAATAAAATAAAAAAATAAGTCAATACATTTAGCCATATTGGATATTCTAGAAAGTATGAATTATTTTTGAAGCAGACTTTTTCTGTATTATAAATTTGAAATTAATTCTTCAAATCAATGAATACGTATTTTCACTATTTGGCCATTATTAAAAGTTGTAATGAATATCAATCAAACCTGTAAAGAGTAATGAAGGAAACCTATACGGTTTCCGCTTTCCGCACAATACAATTCCCATATAACAAAACCCATATATGTGTAAACTGCATTCAATTTTACTTAATATATAGGAGCTATCAATGAAAATTTATCTCTATATTGCCGAAAGTATTAAAGTTCATGTTAAAAATGAATATTCCAGACATTATTGCTGTAATCTCTGCAATTTATTTCTATTTCTTGACTTTGCATTGCGAATACTTTCATTTTAGCATTTTAGGCGTCCAATTTTATTTATAAAAATGCAAATACTCGTCATGTAAATTTTCTATAATAATTGTTTTAATTATATGCTACATTAAATTTCACTTTTACTTGTGTTATTCAAAAAGTCCAGATAGTACATGTACACAGAATAGGAACAAAACCCAACAATATATGTAGATTAAACAATCACGAGACGTCTTTATTAAACATTTAAACTTTAGGAATAATAAGAATTGCTATATAACATCAATTATGTTGTTTCTCTCTTTTTCGTCAATGCAGTCATACACATTTACACCTTTCAAGAATATTAATTTATAGACACGTCTCTTTTCTTCAATTCAGAGATGCATTTCTTTTCTCAAAATGTTTATGTTTACATATCGGTTCTATATCTTTTATTACAATATTTTTTGTAAGTTTCACCTGGTGCCGGTTTATTTCAACTTTTTCGTTAAAAATTTGTCTGCGTAGGGCACTAATTTCTATAAGTATATCAAATGTTGATTAAAAACAATAGAAATGAATCATTTGGATATTCCTATAAAATGTTTCCTGAACAAAAAAGAATGCTGAAAATGGTCTTAGTGATTCAGAATGAACATTTATATGATGAATAATAATATTTTATTCTAGAACATTTTATTATCTGCTATACAAATATATGTTATATCGGATCATGCATCTCACACTTGCCAAAATAGTTATTTTATGGCATTGTTATTTTGTGGTTTGTTGCTTTGTCAAGAGTTACCATCGCCGTAATTATTTATCATATTACAGACCTTCAAATATAGACCATTTCACTATTCACCCAGGAAGCATCGAAAGACACGGAAAAATTAAACTTGACATTTGACAAGAAAACTTCTCTTATTTGTAGAAATGATGTGTATGACGTACACATACACATATTTAAAATGTCTTGAATTCATCCGGTACATACATAAATAAACGTAATAAGTTTTCAAAAAATGAAGCTTGAATTAGCTTGGTAAGACTGAATAACGTCCGTTTTGTGTTCATTTAAATGTTTAAAAAGTTGCATTATACAAAAGACGAGCCGACATTTATATCTACAAATACATAATTAGAGAATAGTATAGACATATTAAAACAGAATGAGTAGACATGACCACTAGGTGTGACATTAGTGAAGAAATGGAAATAAACATGCCAAAAACATAATAAAAAGTATATTAAATAAACAAGTTATTTACTTGAAAATACAAAATAAACGCAAGGGTAAAATAGTTATTTAAGAAGCACGTGGGATTTTTTGACAGAACTCTTTTGCTCGTAATAATGTAGCTACTTGTTAAAATCAAAACGGCTTAAATACAGTTAATAATAATTATAATGTAACTATGCCATTATTTTACATATACTGTACATGTCATTCGCTTTAATAATTTTTAATATATTCGGTTGTTTTATTATGCAAAATGCGTTAATTCGTTTCGCGTGCTTGATGTCTGGACGCCATTTCCGATACAGGGGGAGTTTGACGTAAGGTGTAAAATTTTTAATATATTATTTGTTTTTCATAAGTAAAATTATTGCCGACATGTTTTCCGTACGTTTTTTCTAAATTCTTTCTATTATATCTATAGATGTCGAATAGGAGGCACGTCCTCAATTTAACAGACGATGGTACTCCTTTTGTAAAAGGAATCGAAAAATGTTCACAAACTGAACGAACAGTTGTTTTATAATATATACTTGCATCTAAATTTACATAATACTTTTTAATTCCGTTTTTGCATAATATTCCGTTTTGTATATCCAATGTGGTCTATGATAGATTTTAAAATGTTTTGTTCATCATGAAACTCGGTTAGGCGCCTTGAAGAATTATACATATCGTTGCATATAAAGCGAGTTTAAACTTTAAATACAGGTTTGTTAAATCATTTAATTTAGAATATACCTTGATTGCAATTTGTAAACATTAAATTGATTACAATCAAATGTGATTCATTTTTATATAATCATTACTGACAGTTTCGTATCTTTATTCAATTGGACTTTTTATTTGTATAAACACTTAATATGGGATGTAAGAAATCAAATTCATCTTCTTATATAATAAACATTAAAGACGGTGATGGGGGAAAAATCTTCCAACATTTTGTTAATTCCAGTCTAGTCTACATATTAAATAATATATAACTAAATGTTCAAGCTTAAGTACGTATTGCAAATTTGTATCTTCCAAAAACACATTTGGTCAACATTCTTTGTCATTTTAGTTAGTAATTATGTTACATCAGTACTTTACAGTAGTTTTTATGAAACAAGTTTGTATCAATTAAATGTGTTGAAAAATAACATCATTTCGATTAGGAAATGTTATTTAGGAAATAGATATCAATTCTGAGTGCATTGTTGTAGAATAATGCACGGTTTGAGTTCAAATGCGTAGGAATATAATCACGAAGGCCGATAGGCCTGAGTGATTAATTACAAAGCATTTGAACGAGCATTATTATACAAAAATGCACGAAGAATTAATATCTATTTCCATTCTAACACGTCAAGAAAAAATATTATTATTATTATAAAGTTGGACTTTATGTTTGGTGGTTAAATTTGTTTTTGCCTCAGAGTATCCAATAGAAACGTTTTTAAAAGGCTGTTCCAGTGGGTTGAAAAAGGAAACTGTCGTTAAATCTACCGTGTGTAGAAACATTTTGAGAATAACGAATTTTGAAAACGTTGATAAAACTTGGTTTGTTTATTTTATTTCCGTCTATAATTTTCCAAGCGAAATACAAATTATTAAAAGTGAAATACATGTAAAACTTAACTCGTTTGCGACATTAAAATAGCGTACTTGATTTTAATTGTTTTGCACGTGCTGTTTTGCGCTACATTGTGACGTCACGTAAACAACACTTTAAACGTCTGTACAGCGTTAACGACTGAATTAAAGATATTGTTGTTCGGATTCATTTTCTTAGTTAGACCATTTTCTTTCATTCTAGATAGGTTTCACAACAAAATTCGACAAAAAATTGTTTTTTATTATCACATTTTTCAAACAAAATAGCGCCCTCAATGTGGAAATACTCGGGGAGATAATAAAAACGGCGAATGCATTGTTGTAGAATAATGCACGCTTCGGGCCTTCTTTTTTTATATAGAAAAATTTCCGACAGTGTTAGAATGTTTTATTATAACGTATTAATAAGAAGGACAAAAGAAGAAGAAACAAACTGTAGAAATAAAGTGAAACATTGCTTCTTTGTCGTCTTTCTATTTATATGTTATATTTAATTTTTAAGGACTCAAGTAAAAAGAATGAAAAATAAGATAATTTAATTATTTCGAAATTATAACTAAACAAGTTTGTAAGGGTTTATTAAGGACCAGCTTGGACAGTCATTTTAGTCATTAACGGCCATTCTAGATTTAAAAAAAGTTGAAAAAATTTGAAAGAGGTCGTTCCTATTATAACAATGCAAATAAAAAACTGATAATAGCCGACCTGCAGCGAATTGTATAAACAATTTAACCGCGCGGTTACCACACGGTTACGGTAACCAGCCGGTAACCTCGCGGTAAAAAAAACATCAAAAGCAGTTACCGCGCTATAACCGCGGTTAAATTTAACCCAGGTAAAGTAGCTCGGTAACTGCACGGTAACCAAAACCAACATGGCGGACATTTTACGCGTTTCACACCGACGACCCCGACAATTTCGACGAGTTGATCGACAATTGACTGACTTTACGGACGAGGAATTGCGGAAACGGTATAGGTTTTCTGCTGACAATATTGACAGACTAGTCAGACTTATTGGACCACTTTTGGAGCGACAGACCCGTCGGAATCAAGCCCTTACACCCGACAACAGATTTTGATTACCTTGAGGTTTCTTGCCACGAGTAATTTCATGCAGGTTATTGGTGACACCTTTGGTGTGGACATTGCTACAGTTTCCAGAGTTATCACAAAAGTGACTGACATACTTTTCGGACTGAAGGACCAGGTAATAAAGTTTCCAATGACCGACACTGACCGACGAAAAGTCATGAATGGGTTTTACGCAATACGCGGATTTCCCTCAGTGATTGGATGCATAGATGGAACTCACGTAAAACTGATATCCCCAGGACAACCAGATGAAGCAGCATATGTTAACAGGAAACATCAGCATAGTATAAATGTACAGGCAACTTGTGATCATAAAGGTACATACACATATACAGTAAACAACTTGATTTCCAATTCAGATTTTGTTGACTTATAATATCTACTGCAGTAAACAGTGTATAATAGACTAAGATAGTTCAAGATCTTTGTTTCTTTATAAATAAATCTTACCTGTACTTTTCTATAGTGAAGTCATTGTCATTTAAACTCATTTTCACTATTTCCTCACTTTACAAATTTTCTTAGACTCTCTACTGTAGACCTAAAGTTGACATGATACGATGATACTGTACACAAATTCCACAATGTCACTCCTGTATTTTCTATAATCTAGCCCAGTGGACTACACAGTACATTGAATTAAATCCATGCATTTGTTTAATTAAATCCATATTCAGTATAGTCTAAATTAAATTCTCAATCTAGAAGTCACAGCACAACTAGAAACCCTACTGTAACGACACATGTAAATTTATTTACTTTCACTTCCTCTTTTACCAGAATAATGATTTTTTTCCTGGTAAAGATGACATCACATATTTGATGACATCATAAAGTGTCAAAGGTAAAAGTATTGTATGGAAAGCAATTACTGTCATGTTCAGCACACACTCATTGGTTAGCGATGTAATAGTACTACAGTACAGTACTGCTGTACAATCAGCACTTGGTTTTCGCAAAACTTATTTTGCAACCTTTAAATGTTGTTTTTTTTTATATTAGACTCTACATATAAAGTACAGTACCCAGTATAGTACAGTATAGTTTTTAATGCGAGCAGTTCCCGTACAAAAATCGAAGTGACTTAAATATTATTTTTTATTACGCTCACTCACCAAAAAATTAAATGCTACACATCAAAATTAGGCTCGTCATACAAATTATGGAAATTCCATTATGTTCTAAACATAGAATAACCCTTAGTTATGAGGCCTCATATGGGGTACCCTAATTATCCATTATTTTGTAAGAAGAGAAGTAGTTCCCATACATGTAATATAACCCATTATAATTCTAATATGTTGTTATATCGGACCTATTTTTCATTTATAATTGTTGAAGAGACCATTTCCCAGAGTAATGTAGGTGTTATTCAGGATATAGGGCGTAGACTAAACGCTAGTATAGATCTATTACCCGGTACCATTCTCCTAACGCATTCACATGCATTGCATGATAAATTTACTCAGTAAAGCCATAAAATTATTAGAAATAATAAAAAAAGATCAAATCAGGTTTTCGTCACACTGCCTACTTATCTGTACACAGGTAGTTTACATGCAAAACCTTTTAACGGGTTTCATGTAAGTATTTTTTGCACATGTGCGCAAGGACGGAATCACTCAAAGTTAACACGGTCATGTTTGGACAACGCATAGGTGAAAGTGATTTAAAATGAAACTTTTTATACGTACTGCCGGATTGACACATTATATTTTGTCTCGTTTATGCATCTGATTATTTTGATATCAATTTTTGAAGAATGCGAGAAAAAAATCAAGCATTTAGACGAAAAAAACGGACCCGTACAACTTCTTTACGTAACTGCCTGCATGCCAGTAATAAATGTTTAAATACTTAATACTGAATTAAATTCATTTTCTTGTCAATATCGCTTGTCCAAACTGAATAGTAGATTTAAATCTGACTAAATAGAAAGGATATATCGTGGACTAACCAGTTAAGTAATAGAACTAACCAGTTAAGTAATAATACTAACCAGTTAAGTAATAGAAAGAGCACCGAAACACGAGGCTATCTAATTTGTACGAAGGGGCGTAGCCCCAGAGTATAAATCAGATTGCCGAGTGTTTTGGTGTTCTTTCTATTTTGTATCATAGTCAAACATAACAACACGTTCCCTATTGTCACACTATGAAACCCCTGGAAAAAGTAACAAATGAACGAGCATTTGAATATATTTCTTCCGCTTTCCCTTTCTCTGCTGTCACAATAAGTAAACCCTAGCAAAAATGAGCCAATCCACGGGCATTATCTGGAGTGCGGGTAACTGATACCTGCACTTCAGTTACCGCACTGTGCATGCATATATATACGATTTAACTCTGACACTATTTCAACAGAAAGGTCCCCAAACTATGATACAACTCTAATATGGTGTATTTACAGGACTTATAAAGGTAATAGTAATTAGTAAGAAATTACGATAAGTAATAAAATATCTAATGTAAATATATGTTCATATGCATTGTTTTCATTTGACAACTGACGTGTCTGTAAGAAACTAAGCTTTTATTCCCACGAGAAGATTACATCATGGTCACTTCAAGTTGAAAAAAGTAATAAACAGCTCGTGAGTGAAAGGTTTGAGAAAAGGCTGGTACATGTATTATCTATTCAATTATTATCTTTAAAGAAAATACATCTTATTGAAATTTGATAATGATATTAACGTTATTTCCATCATAATTGATTGATTCGAAATTTATTATAATTTATCATTTAACAGGGAAGTTTACAAGCCTAAATGCGTGCTGGCCAGGAAGTTGCCATGACAGCCACGTCTTCAGAATGTCAAGTATTGGCAGACACTTGCAAAGTCACAACCAAGGTACTTTTTATAATGTTGATAAATAATGAGTTATATGTTTATCAATGTATTTATTAATTAGAATGAAGCGATTTGGTAACGTTAAATATGTATTATATCTAAGGCAATAAAAATTATATTTCTAAAAAATAACTTATTAAATCGATTTACTACCAAATCATCGTTTTTCTCTATTCTGTAGTATAAACATCAACAGAGAGTATAGGATAACTTACAATTTATTAATTTCAGACCCACAAAATGGATACCTTTTAGGAGACAGTGGATACCCGTGCCGACCATTTCTTATCACACCCTTTTTACAGCCAAGTACGTACACATACACATTTAAAATATAAACTTAGTGGTAGCATATTGTTTTTAAAATTGTTGTTAAAATTCGATCTTTTCATAATTTCTGTTGACACTTTGAGACTGGTGATCAAGAACGAACCGTTCATTTTGTAGGAAACGAGAATGAAGAGCGATTTAACAAGGCACACATTTCGACACGCAATGTAGTAGAGAGAGTGTTCGGAGTTTGGAAGAGAACCTTTCAATATCTTACATGGTGAAGTATGTCATATTTAATTACACTTGTTTCCAGTTGTATTTCAAAAAGTTCATGTCCTTTATAATTCTCTTATTGAGAAAATTGTCAATGACAATTACATTTGTAATGACATGTACATGTCCTTCTGTTTTACATTACATAATGAACATTCAAACCGCGCGATAAATTTTATTTTTATTTGCCGTGTTGTACGTTCTTAAAGGTTTTGACGCTTACATTTAAAATAAAATTGACACATTCTTTCGATTATAGATACGCATGAAACCACATAGAGTCACTGCGAATTATTGTAGCCTGCGCTGTTCTGCACAATTTAAGATTACAGTGGGGTGAGCCTCAAGAGGGCAGTGACTCTGACCAGGACCAACCTCCAACAGAGATATTTCAGGGGACTATGGATGGCAAAGGAGTGAGGCAGCACATTGTTCAGACATATTTCTAGGATAAAATATAGTTAGTAAAGAACATGTTTTTAGGCAAATACAATCTATTTTTCGAATTTCAAGTTTAAACAAATTTTATACTCCAAAAAACAATATTTCATTTAAAACATCAAAAATTTTAACAAGTTCTGTCCTCAGAACAAAGCACCAAAGCATACATTAAATAGTTTCGTTTATATTAATCAATTTTATATTTCTCTATCAAAACATCAGCCAGCTGTGCAAATTTATTGTAACATTTCATTTGTGTCTCGGAGAGCTGGATCTGCCTCTCATAAAATGTCATCTGTAGATCCTTCAGTGTTCTGTAATACATGGTAATATATTACAGAAATTTTGGCGTACATAACATATTTATATAAATGATCAACATTATTTTTTGTCCAATCACATTGTAGTATTTTTCAAATTTCTGCTAAGTCTAACTTTGGTTAATGTGTACTAACTAAATAAAATTTATTTAATCTGCCGTCTAACCTGAGTCTAACAATTTTCAATAATGCATTATATTAGGGAGGAGTTAGAGGTGTGATTTGCACTCTGAATTATAAAATATCTAGGTTAGCAAAACAATGCCAACGTAAAAAACAATTGGGCGAGGTCAGGTGTTTCTAAATGTGAGGATACAATCAATTAATTTATTACATAGATTTTTTTTCAGCATGATAGTCTAACTGTAGATAAAGGTATAAATTCTGTGACATTTCAGTAAAAAATGTGCCTGATTATTTGTTGATAGGGCCATTTATTTAGCTTATCTAAATGTGATATGTTAGAAACTTAACAAGGTGTAGACATCTTGTAGAGCGAAAGGGCGGAGCTATCGGTGATTTAATGAAATGCCTTGTTTTTGGTTGAAAAAAATAATGTTGATCATTAAATAGGTTAATGTTTAATAATATGCATTAACACAAATAATTGGTCGCCTGCCTGCCAGCAGGCTTCGACCAATTATTTTTGTTAATACATATTATTAAACACTAACCTATATTTAAGTTAAAGTATTGTTCTTTTGCGACTTATTCTGCGCGTAAGATATCTTATTTCATCCTGCCAAACCGGTATTCTACCATATCATGCCATATCTTATCAAAACACTTCCTGTCATATTCCATCAAATTTTGTCATTCTATCATGTTACATCATATCATATCCTATCACAAAGCCATATAACGATTTGACAGATTATCTATCATTACATTTTGATCTCTCTAGTTTAAAAAGTTCTTAAAAAAGATCAAAAACATATTTCTTCCAGGCTTACAGATGATGAGAACCGGAGCTGGGTGTGACGGACGTATTTTTTTAAATTTTGTGAAATGAATTTTAAATATATTAAAAATATGTTTTAACCTTTTCTGGTGAGTTTTTGTTTTTATGCTGCCTCTTTTCATCCGACGTAACTGCAAATAAATTTTACAGCTTTATTAGATTAATAAAATTATTGTGAAATATCGTCATATTTTATCCCACTTTGAATGTAGGAGAGATAAATTTGATTAACTGACTAGACTGGGATTTTTCTTCCATTTTTTAAACGGTTAACCCGTAATAAAACAACACACAAAACTGAAAATTAGAACAAAAGTTATGACGTTCCAGCTTTACTGGTGAAGGAAGACGACAAGTGTTCCTTCATGCATTATTTAACGCACGGGTGCGACTACTTGAGTATTAAACCGACCTTCCATGAATCTCAAAATTTATAAAATCAAACTAAGATCCACAAGCTTTAGTATGGTAGCAGATAGATGTAATTGTATATGATATACTGTACATCTAAGCTTTATTGAATTTGGTAGATGTGATAATAAAGATTTATAAGGAAAACAAAATTAAAAAATAATCACATGAAGCAGTTTGGCTTGGAGCATTTGTTGCAGACCCCTCTGGATAACTTGCTCTTTGCTGTGTGAAAGTTTCGTCTGCTGTCACCGACATGGATGGCATGTTCATGTTATCTTGAACATCTGCAATATTTCATTTGTAAAAGTCATGCAAAAAGAAACATTTTTGAATATTGAATATTTTTATGAAAAATATAATATCTGAGTATGGGTCATGAAAATTGATTTATATGGATTAAGAAGACTATTCACAACTTAAATGTCATATCTCATAATATGTATAATACACCTTCCTACAAAAGTACAAATATTACAGAATTTTACAAGAAAAATAAATCATATATGTCTACAGTAATATTGGAAATTGTCGTAGTTGGGGCTAGTTCTTCATTTAAAGACGGATGTAGCCTTCCATAGCTCACCGAAACAGGTCAACGGGTGAGTTTATTTGTGAATAGAGTTAGGTAAGGCAGGAATGTGTTAAATCGTTTAAATGGTTGGTGCACACGTTTACTGTGTTTAATAATTGAATAATATCTGTAAAATCTATTTGTTTATTTAATTCTTATAGCATATGCAAGTTCAAAAATGTTGAAAATGAAATAAATTAATTACTTTACTGTATTACACATTTGTAAAAACCACCCACTAAGATAAAGTGTTCTATTCTGTGAATAGTGTGTTTACCGGTAAAATTTTAAAAACAATATGCATGTGTTAACATATTGGAATGTAATATCGACATTTATTCATTAAGTGACTTGAATGAAATGAACGTGATTGAGGATAATAAGTGCATAATTTAGGAAATGGATAGTGAAATTTATTTCGGAGCTTATTAAATTATGAAAAGGAAATCAGAAGATCCAGACACCTTTTGTTAACGTCTCAAGCGGACACAAGATAAGAAGGTCACTGCTAAGAAGATTGTCATCAACAACGTCATTAAATCATCAAAGCCTGAGAAAAACACACATTTCATAAGATGGAAATGCTATACATGCATATGAGTCACTTTGGAGTGTTTTAATATAATTTATAGACCTTTAGGTCAAGAAAATGAAATTAAAATTGAAATTTGTATATTAAACGATATTAAACTATTTGTCAGTAAATTTACTGTAAAATAAATTAGACCTGACAGTTTTCTTAATGAAAAACTATGTCAGTCAGGATTGACGAGTTAATTCATGTATGTACCCTTTGATATTTACTGTGATACTAAAAGTTTTTTTTATAATTATTTTACACATAGATCTATTTACCTTTGTTTGTGCTGACGGTGTCGGCATCAGAACAGACACCATGGAATGATGCCGAGGTCTTGAAAAGGCTTGCCACAGACTGAGATTGCTGCGACATCTCAGGTCTTGCCGGTCCACCTCCCGTTTTCCTCATACTGCACTTCTCTGCAGAAACTTCACTCTTAGCGTTCTTAACCTGATTGTGAACAAAACATATTTTTCATATGTGACGTGAAATACATATTGTTTGTATATCTATTACCTATAATCATGATATCTATATAAATAGGTAGATCTCTACATATCATTGTCACCATATTGAATGATTTAGACAAATAAATCAACAAGATAGCTTTTAAAACCTTTGAATATTTTAAAACAAATTGATTAAAAAATACATCACAACCGTTGCTTATATGTGATAAACGGAAAACTTGAAAACAAACCATATTCCTCCACTTTTCTTTAACTTGTTTGCTCGTTCGGGGGCGTTCCCGCAAGCATTCACCTCCTCCGTAAGCCTGTCCCAGACCTTAGACACCTTTTGGGAAGCCCCAGGCCCTCCCTGAGCATGACTCGCTTTTAACGAATGTAAATTGATCTTCATAAATTCTGTTATCACATCCGTTTCACGGAGATTGAACATTCTTGCTCTATTTACTTTTGTGGTGGACGCCATTTTGTTTGTAAATATTACCGTCTGACATTTGTTCGGGAAAATTACGTCACGTCGCGGTGCATCATAGGTAATATTACCACGGTTAAACTTTCGGTTTTGCGTGGTTAGGTAACTGCGTGGTTAATTTGTTTATACAATTCGAAAAACCGTGTGGTAACCTAACCACGATATATACCACGGTAATTAACTTACCGCGGTATATTTTAACCATCGTTTATACAATTGGCTGCTGGTTTATGAGAGATAATAAATACTTGAACATTTCAAAGTTCATTGTACCGTTTTGACTCGAGCTGTATCAATTGTTAAATATTAAAAGCATTGGAATCACTTATAACCAAGGATCTGAAGATATAGCAAATACATAAGCCATAAAAAGCTGTGATTTGATGACGTATAAGGAAATTTCTGTCACAAAAAATATGTTATATCATTAGTGTGTATATGGTTTATTGTAATGGCTGTTATATAACCCATACTTAACGCACATAATGTAGCCTAAAATTATGCTAAAATAGTACGTTATTTGATAAGAATTGAATATATACATATATCATAAACTATTTCCGATTCTTTTAAATATTTAATGACCATCTGACAGATGGCATCAACAAAAGGACAAAAGGCGGAATATTCCTTCGTCAGTAGGCCATCAAATGATATTTTAACACTATATATCTTACCAACGGTGTTAAATGAGAACAAGGGAAATATTACATATTCAGGTCAATGTTTAGAAAAAATAACTTGATATGTTGTCCAATTGTTTAGTTTCATTTAGTGTGAAATAAAGTTGTTTCCAGAACTTTGAGTTAAAAACTAAGATATTTGACCAACACATGATAAAGAGCGACAACCAGTTTAGAATATAATATAATCATTGGGGTCCATTTGTGTGCAAATAAAGTACATGGGTACATATTAAATCAATGTAGAGCTACTTATTTGAATTAAGCAATAATTTGGACAGACATGTAAATCATGGTACGTTTTCGGGAATTTTCATATAATAGAATTATAGGCAAAATTAAAACTGTTGAATAGATTTTTTTTTAAACTTTGCATGTCGTTAGATTATGATTTTTATGTATTTATTATACTTTAGTATTGGTGATGTAAGAGCTTCACAATTCGAAAATATGAAATTGATTTATTTTCTATTTTTAGAACTATTTTTGATTTTTATTGGCGGCCATCTTTCATTTCTCAAAACGTACTATGATTGTTTTTATGTCAACCCATAAAACACTCATTTGTAAATATGTCATATGTTTTCATGACCATTTATAAAAAGTTATGTAATAAAAAATGTAATAATAAATATAATATTCCTCATTTCTTACTGTTCCAACTGGATATGAAAATCTTACATCAACACTATACTTAAATAAATAGAAATAGTTTTTCTAAGGATTAATCATGAAAGGACATCACACAGGGTTAATGTAGTCGAAGGTGCAAATACAGATAAATGTTTTTATTTTATATAAGATATTAATTGTAAACTGGCTTAGAAGGATCAACGTAAAAATCGCACAAATTTAAATTGCTTTTTTCGTAACTTTAATTATGAGTTATTTTTAGATGCATTGACTGAAAATCAAGTTCTTTGTTTATCTATTGTACATTGATTATTTTATAAATGTAGCACTTTAATGACATAACCCAATATGTTTAATATAACCATATAAGATATCTTTAAACTAAAAGTAAAATATTCTGCTTGTTTGTTTGTCTGTATGTTTGTTATAAGTGGATCAAAACAGGGTTTCGTTCAAAAAAAAGAAAAGAAAAGAAAAATAAAAAGAAAAACAAAAAAAGATTATTAAATAATTTGTTTTCGATTTTAGGAAGATATTTCAGGTTTTTGTCCTACACTTATCAATTAAATCAGCAAACTTCACAATTGTTTAGTGCAAAGATTTCCGATCACGACTTGTATTGTCAATGAGACAGTGATGAATGCAAATTACCCGACACATCATTGGTGCCAGGTGATCAAGTATATATTTAGTTATAAAAAGAGTCAATTATTGTCCTTTAATCGTCAAACGATTTCAATATCCAAAATGATAACAATTTTGAATGTTTTTTTATGACCTGTATAATTTATAGCTTTGTTAACATCCGTTCAATACTTTTACAACGCAATAAACTGACATTTTACAGTTTAATATGGTAGAACTTGAAATACAAGATTTTGAATAGTTGCCTTGCGTTTCGATAAATTGGGCTTATACAAGTATTTTATTATGCGGCAGGTGTTTTGATGATATATCTCGTCGTATATATTTGTCTCACTTCACTATACACGTAGAATGAAAGTCCTGCATGGCACACAGTTAAATACATTATTTCTATTTCCATAAAATAGAGAAATACAGATTCCATAAAGAAAGCCCAACACGACAAAATTGAAAATGTTGCAGGCTCGGTTTGATTGAGCCTGTTCATGGAAAGTGCCAGTTCCGTCCACGCCCCCTAGCACCGGCTTAAGCAGAATTCAACATTTAACACGAAAATGGTGAAATTTTGAATTTAGAACATCCGCAGATGTGTTCATACGGCGGTTATCATGGAATCTTCAATGTGACACCGAAGTGCCATTCCATGAAAAGCGGCGTATGGTCCCCAAGTAAAAGAATGCGTGTGCCCTAAACGAGAAAACAATGGGCGGAACTAAATAAAATGGAATTTTGAAAGGGGATCTGAGGTTATGAAGCCTGCATATCACAGATATGACGTCAAAAGACAAATTTAAAAAGCAGGCAACATTTCCTAAGGGTGATTATACAGTAGTCAAGTAAGAATACTGGAACCACCCAAGTTGAAAAAGGCCAAATACATGTACAAAAAAACTTAAAGTACCAAATAACATGTATACACAACAATAATGTCGTGCTGAACGATCTTCAAGGATCGAAAATATAATATCATTGATTAAATGTACGGGGAGACTTTTTACAGCCGCCACACGCGAAAATAACACGGATGTGACAATGAAATAGAGAAATACAGAATCCCTAAAGAAAGAACAACACGACAAAATTGAAAATGTTGCAGGCTCGGTTTGATTGAGCCTGTTCATGGACGGTAATGGAAAGTGCAAGTGCCGTCCACGCCCGCTAGCACCGGCTTAAGCAGAATTCAACATTTAACACGAAAATGGTGAAATTTAAGTCTCAAGAAAAGCAAACCCCTGAAAGTACGATGACTTTCAAAAAAAAAAAACTCTGAAAACACAAACAAGATATGTGAGGACTTGAACAAGGAATTATAAATCCTTTCATTATTAATGTATTTTAATTAAATACTATTCATAATATAAATGTATTGATATGACACAAAATCATAAAGTTTCGATGAAATTTTCCTTACTTAAAAATAAATATAAAACACCAAACTTGTCATTAATTGGGTATTTTTTCGCACAAAGAAATCAATGTACCGGTATAATGTTTTAAACTTGTTTAAATTCAACTTTTGATAAATCAACACGACGGGAAAGGGTCATTAAACAAGTGTGTTCATGCAAGGTCATATATAACGTCAATGTCGTAATGATCCACTGAAGTGTTTACTTCGACTAAGTGAGTTTACAAAGGAGGATTGAAAGAGTTTATTGTTTCATAAAAATGAAAATTGTACAATGGGAGAAATCGGTCTACAAAAAATGTTTAAAGAAGTATACTGAAGGTATTTAAATCAGGTAGGACATTATAGTAATATTTATAATAATTTATAATTATAAAGACTTAGTGCTTTTTGGAAACGTTAAAACGATTTTTGTTAAAATATTTTAATCTTAATATCTTTACAATTTATTAATTCACCAAAGAAAACTTCGGGAAAAAAAGAACCGTCGAAAGAATTTAAACATGTCGTTCGATGATAATTAATGTAATTAAGATTATTTTGTAATAAAACGCTTGTCAGAGTTCAGAAAATCTATTTCTCTAACAAAAATATATGTATTTTGCTAAAATTACGGAATAAAAGAAGATAATAAACAAATGTTTTTAATACCTTATAGCTAACCTAAAAACGTTAACTTGTATTGATGATAAAAAATATCTTGTGTTAAAGATAAAAAGAATGAAACAATCAAACACCAAATCGGACTATCATTTTATTTTTATTTTTTTATTTCCGTGGCAACTAGTTAGTTTTACTCTCTTTTCAGTGGCCGAGTGATTATAAAAAGTAATTTACGCATTTTACTTCTGGAAATTTTGCTGTTGTTTTTATTATTAATTTTAAGTTAAAAAAAAATAAAACAAGCCCTAAGAGAAAGCTAACATAGTAAGAAAAACACTGTATACAAAGGTCATTGTCTTAGACCAGGTTAAAAGCTATCTGCAAAATTAATTTCTTCAAATTTCTTTTCAGCAAGGTTCTTAAAGATTTAATTTTTAAAACCATATTTAAAAATTACTCTAAAGAATTTAAATATACAATGGAGGGATTTCAGAGAAAGTTCCTAATTACAAACAAATTTTAGAAGAGTATTTTAATAAAAGACTGTATTTGTAGGTGAACTTTAATAAAAAAAACGTATATTTAAATTTGATCTTGTTTTTAAAGTCAAACATTTACAAATGAGGGAACTTTTTTTCATCAAATTAGTACTAACTTTTAATCTATTGTCAAAAACCGTGGTTTTCAAATGTATAAGATATGCTATGGATAAATATTTAAACAAAGCGCAATAACACTTAAAGGGATATTCAGGCAAAATAATGACAAAAATATTAAAATGATCTTATGTACTCAAATCACTCTAAAATGGCTTTTCTTAAAGTTTCAGCATGAATTTCTGTTTAAATTCTATATATTTTGGGTTTTAAGCGTAAATATATGTATATATGTTGAACAAAATTTAGACGCCAATAGAATCACCGAATAGTTTTAAAACAAGTCAGGTGACTTGAACAAACCCTTGAAGTGACAATAGCAGATATTGTAGATATTATATGATTTAAACAAGTCTAAATCATTCACTTGACATGTTCTTTAACGTTTACAGAGTTCACTGTGACAACAATTGTGAAATCCTAGCGCTCTAACCTGACCCACGCGGGTCAAGTTAGGAAACCACTATTTTATTCTTTATATGGAGAAAAGTTTTGTTCCTTTGACTGTCGAAAATATTCCTTTTGAGGGCATTTACATAATAATGAATGAAGAATTCAAAACTAAGAAATGAAAATTTTGCCTGTGTCTCCCTTAAAAAACAACAAAAAAACATATAAAAATATAAATAAACAAACAAAAATCTCGGCAGAACGTGCAAGGGCTGTTGATGACTCATTACATTGTAGTATCATTCTGTTACTGTGTGGTTAAAATACCTTGAGAAATGTTGAAAGGTATGCAAATAGAAAAAAAAACTGCAAATAGTAATACCTCGGAAGCATTCAATCAGCACAACAACATGAAAATTGCAGACTTGGATTGATTGAGAAAAGCCGCGCACCGACAAGCACCAAAATAAAAATTAGATTTTCGTTTAAACATCGGTAATGAAAGAGAATAACATTATAACAAAAATTATGAATACATCTTTTAAATTAATAAGATTGGATGCTCTCTGTATTGTTAGTTAGAATTATCATAAATTATTAGGGGACTTTTCATACACACAGAATCTAGACTAAATAGGGTTTTCATTTCATTTCAGCAAGCACATATATGGTTTAGGCTCTACAACTGCATATCTTTTGATTATGTTACTCAATGTATAGAACTGTTCAAATGAAACGCTTGGTCGGTTTGTAGGCTTCAAACTGTTTTGATCATTTAAAACCGAACGAAAATTATATTTATGAATATCAACAAGGAGTGCACAAAATATTCGGACGACTGTTGAAGCAAATTAGTTTACGAATAAGCACACATTTTTTCTATTTACAGAATGGTATAGTTACAAACATTGCTGTTAGGATTTGGTTTGAATTTGAAATTGCTTTAAGGAAGCTACCGTATCAGGAACTTATTCAATACTTGAAGTAGTATTTTAAGCAGAAATACATGTATAATAATATGACGGTCCTTGTATAATATCTTTAATCGCAATTTTGGCACAAAATGCCTTTTTAATGTTTTTTACATTTCAGGCAAAATTAAATAGTTCATTTTTTATATTTATTCAATCCTTAAGTGCTTAAAAAGCTTTAGAGTTTGAAACATTGATATTTTGGACACTTTTTTTTTACTATTTTTAAATTTATTTTGCTTTAAACTACTTCTCTCTATCGTTTCATCTATAAATATTGTAAATACATTTTTCGCCTAAACCTATTATGTTACATGTTCATTGTTTTCTATGTGAATTGATTTAATCAACATTTGGAAACTTTTAACATACATTGTATTTTATTTTAATCAATCAGAAGAAAAAAAATCTTGTTTTACAAAAACGTTTCAAAAATCGATTTCATTAATTTTAAGATTACGCTCCTGGCTTTTGTCGTTATATGTCTTTTATAAAAAGATAACATTGCAAATGACAGTTTTAAGGTCAAAATAGATTAAGTGAAGAATTTTATCTGCAATATTAAATTTCGTAGTGTATGGGATACGTATATATTGACATTTTGTCTTATTTTATATAACTGTGTTGCCTGAAAGGCCATGTTCAAATTGTGATTTATTTATTTCCTGTCGATACCCGAAACAGTTTTTTTATTATACCACTTGTAAACTAATAAATAGCTTAGATATTGTGTTCAAGTTTTCAGTGATATGACTCGATTCAAGGGTATAAAGTTAAGTAAACAGAACATTATCCTGCTATTTTACGTTTGATTTTATCCATTGAGCAATGAGATCGTGCATGCGCCATTTGTTTTAAAGGTAAATTACCACCATACTTCTTTTAATATACAAGCATTTCGGGCTTTTTTCATTTAAATCAAAACATTTATTGTTGCAGCAAATATTGCTTTGTACGGCTTTAAATTAAAAAGTAAGAATTATAGCGTATCAGTTAGTTATTTACGATAATCATATAATTTAATTGCACATTGAAGTTTATAACAATAAACTCACAGTGGCGTTCGGGCTTTGAATACGAATCCCATGTCCGCTGTTCGAATCTCATTTTGGACATCGGTTACTTTCATGATAGGAAGCTATTCACAAAGCTTTAAGAACGTCAGTCATTCTACTCAGATGTTTGCTCGTAACTTAAATACATGACGAATGGTCGCATGTGATCTTCTTTAGCATTTGGTATGACTTTATGACATGTTTGGACTAGACATATTGCTACGAGATTTATGTTCAATTTCGTTGTATCAACATACATTATTGTGTCTGCTTCTTTGACTGAAGACCATAACCTCAACCACACATATTTATATTCTAAGGGTACTTTTTCTTCGAATGAATACGCTAAAAGTTAAACAAAGGAGACATGCTCCATCGATGATATAATAATGATACTCTACAGCATCAATTTTAACCGGACATCGTACACTAGTGCATTACGACTTAGTAGAGGATAAGTAAACATGCCTAGAATAAAGTAACACAACAAATGTTTATAACAAACACACACAAAAATGATTGGGAAGATAAAACCCTAGCGTCACAATTAAGTTTATTTACATAATGTGATCCAGCAGTTGTTGATGCAGAGCAAATGAAATTCAAAACATATTTTCGTAGCCTTACAAAATCTCTAGCTATTAGGGCGTAATTCAATTGATACTAGCATCGTTTTGTTCTAAAGTATATTATCTGTTGTATGTAGCATATCTAAAATAAACGTATGTACTTTTTTCATTGTTATCGTAAGGATTAATGTTTTGTTCATATTTAAAGGTTTGACGTCATCAAAGATCAAAGAGTTGGTTATGGCTGCTACGCAACCGGGTACATCGGCCGTGACCAATCGTGTCTACCTTGCCCGTTTGCAAATGCTCACCATAGACGGTGGACTTTTAGTTCTTAGAAATTATGCAGATCAGATATTATCAGCCCAGTCCGTTTCTCTCAGTGCATGTGTTGCTCAAGAAAAACCTACTATTACACGTTTGAAAGGACGTAATATTATTACTCAGGTACAATACGATGTGCTGCATCCATCGGGTGGTAGTGTAGCCATGTCGGATTTGGACATTACGCTTATAGTTTGTCTTCTGAGAAACCTAAAGTGTTTCGGTTTAAATCCAAACTTCAACTGGAACTCTTCACCAGGACAAAGTGATTTTTCTATCGAAGCAGATATTTATAGGCTGAAGAGCTACCGGAATGAAGTGAGTTTTTTTAAAGTTAACATTAAAGTATCTTAAATTTATATTAACTTTTCAATAAACTCAAAAATATAATTTGTTAATAATGAATTACAGTTATTATACATGCATTTTTACTTTGTCCAAGAGCTTTAAATATTGAAAGCATATGTTTGTTACCACATTTTCAGATCAGTCATATATCGACAACGACAGGAATTCAACAAAGCAGCTTCAAAAACATGTGGATGGAAATAGAACAGGTACTTAATTAAATGTTCTTTTATCAACTTTATATGCCAAAGTAATTCGGGTTGCTCATCCAGGATACCTTTTTATATGCTAATATAAGTCCGCCATTTTAAAAAATCGATGTAACGAATCGCTTTTTGAGCCGCCTTGGGTGAAGATTGCAGACTCGGTTTGATTGAGTCTTTACATGAGGAAAAATGAATAAATGCAACATCCTTCACGCTCATTAGCACCGGCTTGAGCGGAACTCAATTTTAAACACTTAATAGTGCTGGCATCAATGATCCCGAAGGACCAGAAAAAAATATAAGAACACGGAAGCGAAGTACGGGGCAACGTTTTACAGCTGCCAGAATGCACTTGACACCTGCTGTTGGACGTAATGAAAAAGAGAAAGGACACTTTTTACAATGATTTCTTGCATTTTGTACTGCTGCATAACGTGTTCAACCATTTTGTGTTTTATATTAATAATTACTTTGACTGTGACAGATCAAGAAATGTGGAAACAAAGTGATCCTCGGAAGCATTAATCACAACAAAATTACATGAAAACTGCAGACTCGGTTTGTTTGAGTCTATACATAAGGGTTAGTGAAAAGTGCAACATCCCTCACGCCGCCTAGCACCGGCTTGAGCGGTACTTAATTCTCAAAACTTAATAGTGCTGGCGTTAATCTTCCCGAATGACCAGTAAAAATAAAACAATATTAAAGTGAAGTACGAGGCAACTTTTTTTACAGCTGCCACACAGCACTTAACACCTGCTTTTTTGAAGTATAAAAATCTGGGAACCCTCGGAAGCATTAATCACAACAAAATTACATGAAAATTGCAGACTTGGTTTGATTGAGTCTGTACATAAGGGATAATGAAAAGTGCAACATCCCTCACGCCTCATAGCACCGGCTAGAGCGGTACACTAGTACTTCAAAATATGATAAACAAGATTAACATAGAAAGGCAGCGTTCAATGAATGCAACCCCCACACGATCCATAAGACTGGACTCATGGGGGGGGACACCAACATTGAACGCCGAACAATCCCTTGAGGATGACAATGTAACAACATCGACTGCATGTACGTGGAGACTTTTTACACGGCACAAACAACACGGTTATGAGCATAAAATATGATAAACAAAATCAAAAAGGAAAGGCCGCGTTCAATGAACGCAACCCCTACACAAAGCCACACTAGTGAGCATACAAGTTTGAACCCGTTTACTTTTAACCGTTTTACCAATGACAATAAAAATAAAAACGAACAGAGGTAAACATTTAATTATTTTAACCCCAATTTATGAGAGATAACTTTTTATCGGCCAACCCAAAAACAGTACTGTTTATTGGCTTTTATATTTTCAGCCGGAATGACACTTGAGGAAATCTTACACTGCCAGTTACAGACGAACTTAAGCATCGAGGTTTTTAAGTAAATCTGCCGATTAACTAAACAGACCCGAACAGATATTCCGTCTGTTAGGACAGGTTGTAGAATCTTTCTTACATATTAAGAATTTATTTTGGAACAAAATAAAATGGTATCTCTACTCATTTTTTATTACGTTTAAATAATTTCACGTTCTAAAAGATGTCATCTTAAGAAGCAATTCGATTCGTTTTAAGCGCGCGTGCATGATCATTTGAAAGCAGACTTGTTTTCCAATGGGTGCACAGAATAAGTTTTTACACCTTGTAAAACGGTAAAATCAAAGATTAAAAGAAAAAATTAAATACTATAATCAGTTCTTTTAACCTTTTAAGCGTTTGATTTAAATATGAATTGATAGTTAATAGTTAGCAAATAAGCACCGCAGACAATATTTTTATTAGTGAACATGTTTTCCTCGGGATAATTTATTCATACATATTAAGATTTCAGTTGATAAAATAAAATGGTGCTAACTCTTTATAAAACGGTTTTAAATGCCGATTTTTAGTTAACAAGAATGCTTCTGAAAGACATTGTGACGCCCCTTTTTAAGCTTGTGTTTTTGTGTTTTACGCCATGTGTAAAACACATAAAAGATCACTCCAATTCATACTAATCATAAAAAAGAAAATGAAACAAATAATTTATCAAACTAAACCAGATTTTCAACATCTATCAACGAGGTAAGTGATTTATCAAAAAGGCCGAAATATGTTAGATTTACCTTTCTGGTCAATCGCATAGTTTAGAAAATGTAAAATTGCGTCCTGAATCGAAATAATTTGAAAATAATTCATAAAAACTAGTTTTGAAGTCTTTACACTTTTCCTTTTAAAACAAGAATTGTTTCAGTATTGAATTTATAATTTGTTTTGTTCATCTGGAGGAACTTAAGTCGTACGTCAAAGGTTAATCCAACTGATAAGCTTTCTAATAACAAGTAATTAAATACTTCTCTGCAGGTGACCAACTTCTTACCGCACGTCTAATTCAGCAATGAGAGACAAACGACCATTAGTCTAAGACAGAAGTCCGATATCTCTTCTCGCTTAACAGCGATACAATTGCTCCTAAAATAAGAAAGTGAAAAGATCTTATTTATACAATACTTATTGATACAATATTGAATTTAAGGTACCGAATTTCTTGTTGAATAATAAAACATTCCTGAAAGATTATGCCATTTCCTGGTAAAATGTGTAAGATGTCTTGAATCGTTTTATTATGGTGACGGCGAAAATGGCATCGGTATATAGTCACCCAGACATTATACCGTTAGTTGCTGCTTAAAAATGATTTTACAGGTTTTAATCAGTTTGAATATATTGTAGTTACTTCTGAGACTTAACTCGTCCTCGGTGTCTCCACTAACAGACCTTCAACACACGATTTCTGACTTTAATTCATGCCATCTTGATCCGAAAGCAGAACGGAGGATCAAATATGAAATGGAGAAATGGAGAAGACTGGAAAAGGCCGTAGAAATAGATTTAAAGCTTCTGAAGGAAAGCTATAAAGCCATTAAACAAACGCAAACTAAGAGACATTTTGAGGCACGAAAGCGTACGGTGAAAATAAATAAAGATATACGGATAAACAGGGACAAAATAGCTAAAATAGAAGAACGTTTACAACCACTTAACAATGGTAAGACTATTTAGAATATACATTAATAATTACAGAGACATGAGATTTAAAATAATATCCTCTCAAGTGATCCATCCATTCCCTTCAAATTAAATAGAAGTTTTCAATTTTTTAAGTTTTCATTAAATTTTTTTGCAAGATAAATTTGGGGCTTAAAACGAGCAAAGTAACCCGTATCAGCGACGCAAACAGGGTAAAAATCTTCAAACAATTAAAGTAACAATTTTTTTATTCTTTTTAGTATTACAGGTATTGATAACATGGGTCACCAAACCAATGTCGTTAAATATTGCCAAGTTATAAGTGTTTCTATGATAATTTCAATGGATGCTTTGTACCGACAATTTTTCCGCGTATTTATTGAACAGCCCTCGTAATTAATATTATATGACAAACAGAATTGTTTTGCACCACACCAAAGTGTTATGTCAATTGTGGGGTTTAAGTGTTAAGCTGTATTTCTCCAGTTTCAAGTAAATCAATCTTAGGAAATCAATCGTTTTAAGATCTTTTGTTAAAAATAACACATTACAGATTAAGTAAAATGTTACATGTTACTGGCAATGATTTACTGATTTTACAGTATCTATCAACATTTTCGACTTCGCGACTTTCTTTGCATATTATGAAATTTATTTGGTTATTTACGTGAATTTAAAAGTGACAATTGCAATGTTAAACTACCTTCTTTTTATAAAAAAATACAACAAACAAACAACACTCTTGAATACATTTTCAAAAATTTAATAAAGATCAGCATCGATTTAGAGCATGCCGCTGCCATTTTTTTTATCAAAGAATAGACAGAAAATCGTTTTGGTCCCGTTAAATTCCCTTTTATTTTTAAAATTTTAAAAAGTTTTTATTTAAACCTTATAGTTTTTTAGAAACAAAAGAGTACGCCAAATTTAAAAAATATAAAATTATTTTATTGCCTTTGCGTATATAGCGAGTAACGCTGAAGGAAGACAATATAAGGTCAATAACAACACTTTTATGAAGCTAGTAGACCAAAATTAATTGCGGCGAACTTTTTAAAACTCAAATGAAGGAAAGCACAAACATCAATAATTTCCTTAACTTTGCATGAAAAAAGAAAAACAAGATTAAAAAACCCGGGGTATCCCTTTTACTTTTTGTTCATTTTTTTTTTCTCATCTTGTGTCATTATCAAGAGTATTAAAATGTGACAAGCAATATCTCACTTGAACCAATATTTAGGCTTATTATTTAATTACCCGATCCACGGTTTATACTTTTCTAGCATTTCATGCGATATATTTTATCTTATACTGCTACAAGTAAAATGTTAAAACTTTTCTTCGAGTTATGAATTTTACAAAAAAAATAAAATAGATAAAATAGAGAAAAACAGAAGCAAGTTAATCGTGAAACAAGACAATAAGTTTGGTTAATGGCTTAATGCAATTGAGACCCCTTATTCATCCATATTTTATTGATTAATTTTTATATATCTCGAATATTGAGCCCAGAAAGGCTCCAACTCGTGTAATGTAAAATCAGAAATAACTCTTTATTGTTTAAGCGTTTCGTTAAAAATGATCCTTTCTATTTCTTGTTAAATTTTATAAGGCAAATGTTTTAAAAATTTAAACTTAAGTCTTTGGTTACTTTTTACTTCGATTTAAAGAAAATTTGATTGCTTTTTAAAAAAATGGAGACACGGGAAAATTTCCCCCTGTCGCCTTTTTTGAAAAAAAGGATACCCCAATTGGGGGCTTTCAAATTAAAAACCAAATTTTTAAACGTCGTCCCTGTAAAACATTTAAAAACTGGAAAAAATTCTAATAGAAAAATATTTTCTAACCCGCTGATGAAAGGGTTTTGGAAAATTTAATTTTTTCCCCCAAAATACCGTTGGGAAAAATGTTAGGGTGCCAGGCGAATGAAAAGAAGAAAACGCCCGACATATTTTTTAAAAAAAAGTGTTTTAGATTGTCTGAAAATTTTTTTTAAAAATTTTCCTCTTTCTTGTGGTATTGCGAGATTCTTATGATTTATGTTGCATCGATGATCTCATATACAAGCTAATTATTTCGAATTTAGCTAACGCAAAACACTTTTCAGAAGATTTTTTGCAGGACATTTTAAATCGTGAAAAGTGTCTTGTGATACTTGATGGACTGGATGAATGGATTCATCCCGAGAAAATGTGCTATAGAGTTCCACAATCGATACCCCACAGGAATAATCGAAAAATGTGTACTGTCCTGACTACTACGAGACCATGGAAATTAGGAGTTTTGAACCTAAGTTCGAATGAATTAGGTCAACAAGTAGAACTTACAAAACTTTGTAGCTCATCGGCAGTAACATTTGTAAACAAGACATTGACAAGATTAAAGTCACATTCTGATGAAATGTCGTTACTGAATGAGGTCAGTGAGTTTAATAAGGAAATCAGTATTACAGAAAATTTGGACCTTACTTCTATACCTCTACTTTTAATGTATACCATTTGTTTATGGTGCGACGGAGTTCCAATAGGAAGTTCAAAATGCAATCTTTACGTAAATATTGTCGAACTCCTGTTATCGAGAATGGCAAAGAAACACAAGGGGCTTCCGCAGCATTTTGAAACTTCTGTCAATATTATTCCAGATTGCTTAAGGGATCTCGAGTATTGTATGAAATACATAACTCTTCTCAATTCTCTTGGAAGACTAGCATGCCACACATTATCAAGTATAACCAGAGAAAACTTACTTGTACTTGAAAGTTCAGTTGCTGAAACATTTCTTAGTCCAAAGGAGTTGACATGAAATTTTAAGCCTTTTATGGATTTTTTAACGAAAAAGTACAAAAAAATCTTTAGAAAAAGAAAATTTCTAAGTCTCTTTTTTCGCACAAAAACTTGCCCGGGAAATTTTTTGCTGCTTTAATTTTTATGTTCTAAAAGAAACGCTAAAGAGGTCTTTTTCTAGAAAAAAGTGGAGCCTATTAAAGATTTTAACATTTTTTACTATGTAAATTTTTTAAAATTTAAATAAGTTGACGATTATAGACTTTTAAAAATAGTTTTTTTTTGGGTAAAAGTTTAAAGACGAGAAAACACGAAATTTACAAAATAGGGAAGGGCAAACAGTTGCGGGAAAAAACCTTTTTAACGTGACAAAAAAAATTTAACTCTTGACATGGGGAAAAGGGAAAATGCCTAAAATGATAAAACTATTTGGGGTTTCAAAGATGTGTTTTTTTTGGACCTGATATGTTCACAAAAAAACACCAAAAAGCGTTTGTCAAAACAAAAAAACAAACATTAATCACTTTTTTAAAACCCAGCGAGGCTGCAAGCAATGCCCCTTTAAAAATTATTGTTTTATTGGGTTTCTAAAAAGTCTGAATTTTTTAAAAAATTTTATTACAAGGGTTTTCAATGGGAAAAAAGACCGATGTTGATAAACTTTTTTTTTCCCTTTTTTAAAAAGTTTGTCGTTATTGTGGGGTCAATGGCTTTGCTATTTAAGGGTTTGGGGTCAAAATCTTGAAAAATTTTCAATTTTATCCATTGGAAAATTTTTTCGTTTTTATAAAAAAATGGAATCAATTTTTTTATTTTGTCTCGGGGAAAAAAACTATACGCGAAGTGGGCTTGTTATGTTTATGAAAGAACTGGTCCTGGTTGTAAAACATTTTACCCTTTACCTTTTTCAAAAATTCATGTTAAATGTTAGTTTTCCCGTGGTTTGCCCTCGTTTCAAATTAAAAAGTAAAAACTTTTTTCATTAATATCTATTTACTTGTCAGGAATCAAACTTGTTGAAGCGTTCAATTTTTACTCTGTCTGCCACGATGGTGAATATATTACACGTTTGGGATTGGCGGGAATCAGAAATGTCGTTCCTGCATAGAGCTTACAAAAACTTTATAAAAAGCGCTTGAGAATATTCCAACAGTCAGTTATAGTAAAGCATTTGGTAAAGATAAAAACCGGAATGCAGAAATATGAAAATCGTAAAAAGATATAAAGAAAAATTCAGATCCTTTGATATTACGGACGACAACACTCATGTGCCGCAAAAATTTTTTGTTCAAACAATCAAAAACCACGTACAGAATAGATTATTACTGTAAAATAGATAGCATACTTGGGCACTTATTTCAGGGTAATAGATTTGTTTATAAAATATGTTTATTTTCCTCATAAACGTAACTATAAAGTTTAAGAACAAATAATAGCTCTATGCGTCAACAATATTGCTATAATATGTATACACATAAAACATGGGAACCGATGATCTGTTCGGATCTGTCATTTGTTTACTTGTTACTTTAATAACTGTTTGGTCAAATCAAGATAATGCATTTAAAGAAAACATATGGAGGGTATGTTAACGGAATGCTGGCCCTGTTATATATTTGCTTAATAAAAATTTCATTACAATATACGATGAATTAACAAAAACACAAAGTATAAACATTTAAGCACTTTGTCTTGTGTTAACAATACAAATGTGTTAATGATATATTTTCATGCATATTCGATGTTTTTTATGATGGATATATTTCTGGATATATGTATAAATAAAATATATTTTGTAGAAGCACTGTTAGTTATAATATTTGTTAAATGCCTTGCTCAATTGTAAAGTAGTTGAGTCTTCATATGATTCTGAATAAGACTATAACACCTTTCATTTTGCGAACCCTCAATAAAATTGTAACGTTTTTAAGGCACACAAACCCTGTCGGTGAAAAGCTAGCTCACCACGGAGAGTGGTTTATGCCCTTATATATTGGATACTATCCTTTATGTGAATTCATCATCTTTTGTTTTCGCATATTGTAAAGCTCATTATATGACGTTCTACCTACGTCGTTACATTACTTTCCCCTCCGAGAAGTCTCGTCCCGAGACTTGGCCTGGGAAATCTGTGGGTAGGGCAACTCCGGTCTGGCAGTTGTCTACATCCCCCCACACTGGCCACCAAATGTAACGTTTTTAAGGCACACAAACCCTGTCGGTGAAAAGCTAGCTCACCACCGAGAGTGGTTTATGCCCTTATATATTGGATACTATCCTT